GGAGAGGTATTGTCACATGATGATTACATTATACACTAACATAGTTCATGGTGTGAGATAGCTCAAGGCTAGTGGTATGCATAAAATCTCAAAGGCAGATGTGCAAAGAAAAACTACTGTGTGGAAAAAAGTAAGCATATTGTTTCAGAAGCCCTTTTTCATGCCTGACTAATGATAACATTTAAGAACTTCTACACAAAACAACTTATATATTCCAATCCAAGATAACACAGTTTCTTTTGTCTTAAGTAGCACTTTAGTATCTGTCAGTATTTTTAGGTATTTGGCATTAGTAACCTGAAGGCTAATTACATGGCACATTGGATAAATGGTCAAGTCTGAGTGCAAAGGGTTCAACATAGAACTGCTAACCTGAAAGAATAAAATTAGTCAACAACACTCTAAACCTACACAACTCCTCCTAAACAAACAGTGAGATTGACCATCATTTACATAATACAACCACAATTGAAAGTGCAGAACACATTTTACAATATACTGCAGATATGAACCTAGGACACACTTATAATCTTGTCTAATCTAGTTATTTTATGAGGTAAGTGTCATTAGTTGTTCTTCAGACTAGATGCTGTGACATCAAAGTGCTGGAGTAATAAAACCATAGAAAAAGAAGTTAAATGAGTTGAAACACAAAAAATGAATTATTATATTATATAGTTATAGTTTCTTAGCAAATATAAATCTATATTTTGAATGAGCAGAAAAAAATACATATTCAGAACTATGTGGAAATGATAACTGGAACATTTTAAAAATGTTTCTTTGCAAAATATACTATATAAATGCTATATAATACTAACATATAAATGATAAAATACTTTTGAGTAAAAAAATTGTGGAAATAGAATTTGAATTACATATTTTACTTACAGTTTTATATTTTGCATCTAGGTGTGCACCAGTCCTGCATATAAAATAGTATGAACACTGATAGACCAGTGCTCCAGATAATTTTTGCAATGATCAGCACAGTACTGATCAAATTTTGCCTCTATCAGTATCTGCCAGAGGTGATCAGTAATTTAGTATCATGGACAAGTATCTGTATGCTGGTTTATATAGTGGTCAAATTGTTCATAAGAGTTTGAATATGTCAATATTATATTGTGTATTTTGCCTCAAGAAAGTACTACAAAAACACATACACACAAATTATAATTTTTTTAAATATTTTCTTAATTATCTGTTTGTATGTTTGTGAAAGCCTCACCCTTCTTCTGTTCTTATCACTGTCCCACATTTTAATTGCAGTGCTGGGATCATACAATGAAATTTCTGGGCCTAACATTACAATTCTCATTAAACAGTATCTTTTCAGCTTTCACATGCATCTGAATTTTGTCTTCATTCTGTTGTTTTTTTTACAGAAAAAGCTTCTTCACAATCAATGCTTTTACACAAAAGCATAAAGCTATTTGATATAATTTTTTACACATTAGCAAATTGATCACTATGCAGTTTAATAACCCCTTTACATAAATGTTCAGTTTTTTATTTTTTATATGTCTTTCAATATGCCTTTGAATCTAGGCCATTCATTTTGTACCATATCATTTTTGTTAAGCAAGGGGATCATTTCAGTTTCAGTGTTTTTCCCAGTACCATATGATATTTTGGTAAATTTATTGGTTCTATAAAAATCTGCAAGATCAGTAATAGCCACATGTGCTAGATGTGTAGATCAAAAACAAAAGGCTCAGGTATGAATTCCAGATTATGGATGGTGTTTTCATCTTGTTGTGTATGCCTATTGATGATGTTCTGATAAAGTCTATGTATTTACTTAACAGTTGGTTTACTTCTGGAGTCCCTTCAGAAACAGAAAGTTTTACACCTTTCATACACCTACTATTCTGTTCTAAAGTGCTCACCATTTCCCTGTAATTTTTCACCACCTTTTTTTAGTTTATCCAATCAAGCTAAAGTAGACTCAACTAGTGGTTTCACTTGACTGAATACTAGATTTTCCTGCTGAAATCCACAACACCTGAATTTTATTACAGACATCTAACATGAGGCTTGTAACTAAAGCAGTTTTAGTGCTGTTGTGTAATGTATAATGTAAGTATGTGTGTAATGATTTTACTGTTGCATTTGGTGTACCTAGTTCAGAAAGTGTTGCTACATCACAAAGATAACTAGGATACACAGCATCAACTACACTTCTCCTGCTCAATCATTTCACAGTGTGTGGTTCTTTGAAAATGCCCTGAATGTTATGCACTTTTCTAGTTCGTAATGCAGAACTGCTGAAGAAATAATATAAACTGTTGATTTGAAGGTTTCAAGTAGTTTAAGGTTTTTCATGGCACCAACACACCCCAGTGCAAGTCTGTGGGCTGTGAAGTGTCTGTATGACAAATGAGGAGAACTTATTTTATTTGCACACCTACACCAGCTCCATGACCTACCTACCATAGTATCAGCTCCATCTTTACACAAGTTTTCCCTTTTTCCTGTCTACTCCCATAATTTACCAAAAATATCCTTTAAGTGTTTGATAACTGTATGGGCTTTGCCATCATCAAGCTTTACACTCCCTAGGCAGGATGTCTCAACATTGCCTTCATACACATATTTACACAGTGAAGTCCTAGATTACACAACAGACCTATCATGGCACTGTTAAAGTTGCATCTTCAGAGACATTTCACAATGTCATTGTGTAAACAGTTTAATATGATCTTTTGATTAAATTAACTGAGGTCAATTCAAATTTTTCATTTCAGTTTTTACACCATTCAAACTGTACAAAAATAAATTGTTCAAAATACTAATTTATCAAACTCACTCACTTTACACTCGAATGTATAACCTTCATCATCACTACTGATGTACTCCACATTTTTCAATTTTTCTTTTCACACTCATTCTTACTGCATCTAAGCAGTCACTGATGTCATTGTGATTTTTAATTGTAGAAATCTCAATATTAAGAAAGCCAGTAGTACCCATCACATTCTTCTTTCCAACTTTACACTGGTGACAAAATATGGATTTGAGTCCATCTGCTTTTGTAACAATCTCTAGCCATGGGTACTGTTTTATCCAACCTTTGATTGTAGTGTCAAGGACTGTATCACCACATGAAGAAAGTTACCAAATTGTGTGTGTCGTAACAATTAGCTTATTTCTTGAAATTTCAAAATATAATTTTTCATGATAGGTTTTTTTTTTTATAACGCTGGCAAATTCTTGCTGCTCTAAATTTTCATGGGTTATACCAATAATTACAGCTTACACAACTATATTAATATTACCTTATTCTAGACATAATGTAGTGTTCCTTTCTAACTGACTTGCAATGTTATTTCTAGCTCACTTCCCAACCCTGTTGACTTTTTCTCTCTCTCTCCACATACATATGTGTGTGTGTGTGTGTGTGTGTGTGTAGTATGCACCAGATTCGGTCAATGCTTTATTCACCTTTATAAAGCATAATAAAGCCAGGATTCACCAGTCTGTTTTAAATTTCACAATAAGGGAGAGAAATAAGACTTTCGTTCATTAATTAATTTTCCGTAAATTCGTTCCAACGAAACTTTAGCAACACAAGTCCTTTCTTAAATAAAACTGGTTTATTCTTTCCGAATACAACTTTACCGATACACTTAATTTCAACAGTCACTCTATAACAAACAATGTAATTCTCAAAGAACGTCTCACGTGCTCGTGCTCGACAATACTCAGTTCAATTATACATTCACTGACTGCAGTTCAATTACTCATTGTTCCATCACGTTGTGACCGTCTTATATATACCAGACTACTCCCAATCTAGTAGTCTCCCGACAATTCACGAAGGAACAGGATACTTCTAGAAGGAGGTGGCGTGATACTAGTCACGTGATCTCGCTGATGCAACAATACTTTTCACATATACTAAAAGATTGCCTCTTTTTGTAAAGATACACACATTAAATTAAGAATTACAGCTGGCCTGGCATGGCCAGGTGGTTAGAGTGCTTGACTTGCAATCTGAGGGTCACGGGTTCGAATCTCTGTCCCACCTTTCAGCCATGAGATCTTTATAAAGTGACGGTTAATCCCAGTATTCGTTGATAAAAGAATAATCCAAGAATTGGAGATGAGTGATGATGACTAGTTGCCTTCCCTCTAGTCTTTCACTGCTAAATTAAGGATGGCTAGCACAGATAGCCCTCATGTACCTTTGTGCAAAATTCAAAACAAACAAACAAACAAACAGAATTATAGTAATCATTAATTCTTCAGTACATGCTCGGTCCATTGTGCAAGCAACACTGCTAATGGTAGATGTGATATGCGAGATTTTAGGCTTACATGCAAGTACAGACTGTAAAATCAATTTAAAATAAAGGTAAATTACTGAGAAATGGCTTAACTAAAACAAACAGAATAGAGAAATAATCAAGTTTGCAAACTATCAAAAATATTAATAGTTAAGGGTACTATTGGCGACTGTTATTAATTCTAAAATTTACCATTGATGCATTGCTATCAAGACATTCATAATCACAATCTATCAATACTTCTCCTAGTTGTGGTGTGCTTTCTTTTTAAACGTGATGCATCTATGTGAAAAAATAGCCATTTTCACAGTGTGCAACCAGTAGGCACACAAATTCATTATGTAACATATCCATGATAGTACATCCGTAAACTGATAAGTGTCAAATAAAAAATAATGTATCACTCAAAAAATGGAGTATTTTACACGGCCATATGTGCTAACCACCTGGACCACTATAGAATTTACTTAATAGGGCTTAACAATGCCATTTATTCTGCATTTTTTCAATGAAAAAACTTTTGAAACATTAGTATAAAACCATAAAGAAATGGTTTTAAAACATTTCACAGCTTGATAATAAACTACAAGATAAACTACATATACTCTAAGGAAGTTAAGTGATCTTCATTAAATGTACTTCAACATACCATTCAAAAGGAATATCTCCCAGCTTTTTCTAGAATGTTCACTCAAACACAGTTCTTACCTCTTGTTAAACTTTAAAGAAATTTTGTTGAAGAGAGATCTCCCACCAGGACTGTTGTAAGAGGAATCCTGAGTCTGGACGGACACTGTTCCTGGGCCATTGTAAGCAGTATTGTACCACTTTTCTTGTGTTTGTCCACTGTGAAAAGTGTTACGTATAGTAGTGCCTCTAGGAAATGAGCTGTTAACTGAAGAGACTGGCAAAACAGCTTCTGGTTTTTCTCCTACCCCACTACAAGAGTAATAATTATAAATAATATTAAGATTCTAAGAACTACAAAATTAAAATGCTCATCTAATGACAATAAATTCAATATTGGAAGATATGTATTTGATGTTTTAAATAAAATGTAATACTATTTATACCATGATAAGAAAACATATTTTTAAAGTAAATATTCAAAGAATCTGATATGAAGTAAAAATTAAGATGAGCAAAAAACATTTTACCAATGCATCAAAGAGTACCAAGAAAAATGTAGTGTAAATTAGTCAGCATAAAAGATTTTTTGTGCCACTCTTACACACAAAATTTCAGAGAGATGATTACTATTGCTTAAACACTCATTAACCTAAGAAGTTCAAGTCTGCTTGAAAAATGGTAGCAAGTGCCTTAGAAGGCAAATTAAAGAAAATCTACACAAGCACATTTCATTATGGCATAACATTAAAATTCATTAAGTTATATCTACACATTGTTAAGATTACTTCATAATAAAGTCTACATTTTTTAACAAGAACACCTTTGAATGGGAGCCCTATATTAAGTTCTGTAAAATAAAACTTAAAATATATAATAGGTGAGATATTATATTTGTTAAATTCAGTGTTTATTTCTGAAATAATAACACTGAATTAATATAAGTCAAACAACACATTTTGGCTTGTAATCAGAATGAACAATGTATTAAACATCTAACATTTAGAAAGTATTTTATATAACAAAAGAAATGTAAAAATACCACCAATGAGGTAGTTCCCGATTTATAATAGGCATACTAAGGGGGCAACAATTTCTAATACTTTAAAGTTACCAATCAAATTTATTCTATCATGATGAACTGGAATTGATGAAATTTTGATAATAGATTATACTCTTTCTGCTTCTAAAACTATGATACACACACAATTCAAATTGGGTCTGAGCTAATATATGGCTTACAGACAAAGTAAAATTTTCCAACATATCAATGTGTACAAGCCATTGGAACTTGAAATGTCAAGAAATTTTTTTATATGATACAAAACAAACCAAAAGATGAACAAAAACTCTCTGACAGTCATTTTAATAAATAATGGTAACATAACCTACCTAGTTTGAAGTGGATCTCTTACTGACGTATCAACAGGGCAAGTATATGATACAGATGTAGATTTTGTATGACCTTTTGGCCTTGGAGTAGGCAACTCTTCACCTTTAGTAGTAGTGCTGTAACAAATGTCTCCTAATTAGTATTTCATATAAAAAGTTGGCATGTACTACCTCTATCAGGTGATTAATTGTAGATAACACATATCTCTTAAGTTTTTCATTTACAAAAAGTGACTTATTATGGAAGAAAAATTATGAGACATCACAAATAGCAGTAGACATGTAAATATCTTGAGCTTTTCATAAAATAAAATATGAAATGGAAAAGTTCATTGAATTTTTTACATTATGACATTTTTTTGTAGATTTCATGAAATGTTTGAACACCTGATCAACAATAATCAATCATTCTGAATAAAGCACTTTAAAAATATCAGAAACTTAAATTGAATTTTTTTGTTAGAGCAAAGCCACATTGGGCTATTTGCTGTGTCCACTGTCGGGGAATCAAACCCCATATTTTAGCATTACGAACTCTCCGATGATCATCATTTCCAACGTGTAAACGTTGCTTCGTTTCTTCTAGCGTGTAATGCATGTGAACCATTTTTGGACAGAATTGTCGCCGGTGATGAGAAATGGATTCTCTATGCTAATATTAAATGCCAAAAACAATGGCTCAGTCCTA